TAGCAATTTATAACCTTAGCTGTAATGAAAAAGTGTGCCAAGAAATTTCTTCAGTCCTACAGGCATGTTGTTGTTTAGTCGTTCCAACTCTTCGTGACCCCATGGACCATAGCGCGCCAGGCCCTCCTGTCTTCCACTGCCTCCCGGAGTTGGGTTAAATTCATATTGGTCGCTTCGATGACACTGTCCAACCATCTCATCCTCTGTCGTCCCCTTCTCCTCCTGCCTTCACACTTTTCCAACATCAGCGTCTTTTCCAGGGAGTCTTCTCATGATATGGCCAAAGTATTGGAGCCTCAGCTTCAGGATCTACAGGCATAATACCTGCTTATTTTGCCCAGATGAAGCCCATTTGGTTCAATCCTGCAAAATCTGTAAGTTTTACAGCCCTTACACTTAAGAATTATCAGTCTCGGCTTCAGTCTTTCCTTTGGGAACAATCCCTCCGAGCCAGGACGATTTCGACCACCCAGATGGATCAACCAGCTCTTTCAAAGACACCCTTGGATGTAGAGTCCATCACTTCATCCTCTTTGAAACTGCCATTGAAACTGATAAAGAAATCAGAGCATAGCATCTATAAGCGTCCAGCACCCCCTGATATTGACATGCTGAAGAAGAAGAAGAAGCGGCAGCCTGTAGACCCCATCATTGTCACCGAAGTTTTGAACTTGCAGTTATCGGTTTGAGAGTTTAACTCTGCTCACACTACCAATGGCCAGTATACAGTCTCAGTTTTGGAGGGTGAATGCTTGAGCCCCTCTGTGCAGTGTTGCCACCTCACCAAGAGCACCATTGTCTCGGAGTCCTCTGCAAGAACAATCCTTGCTTCCATTGTCTGAGGATGAACAATGATCAAAATCAAGATCCCACTCCCTCACTCAACAGACTCCACAACCAGGACACTATGATAGGAAGAGTAGGAATTCTTCTTATGATTGCCACCCTGTCAATACTGACCACACTACTCAGGATCTTCAGCAATGAACTCTTGATATCGTGAGGATGCTTATTAATCACTCTTCTTTTGTCTTCCCCACTTCATGTATGGGGACATTGGCTGGCCCAGCACTCCGCTGCCTTCTGCCTTCCATGAAACCAGAGCCTCCACTGGGGATCCCCCCCCCCCACAGCTTCTGCTCAAGCCTTAGCTCTCCAGCCCACCATCTGAGGTCTTGCTACCTCCTCTTAGTCCGAACTTCTTCCTTATCTCTCAGTTACCACCAGGCTCACGTCAGCTGTTGGCAATTTCTTCTCTTCCTGCAAGAGAAAGACAACCGGATGACAACTCTGACGATTCTGATAGGGAGGGGGGAAGGACTCTGTCCTTGTTCCAGGATCCTCTCTGGTTCCATCGTCCAGGATGCTGGCCCTCTTTCCCCCTCTTCATATAATGGTCTGATAGAGAGAATGGCAAAATCATTGCAACTCCCCGTCTTTAAACCAGTACCCCCAGCTAAAGTATCAGTCTTTTTCCAGATCCACAGAAAGGCAAACATCCCTATTGATATGGCAATGACAGACTTCATCAGCAAGTCCTGGCAGAAACTTTCCTCAATTCCACCAGCATCCCATAAAATTGAGAACTTCTGGGTCTAACAGGACAAAGCTGAGTTCCTCTTTAAACATCCGATACCGAACTCTGCCATTGTCCAAACTGTCCAAACGCGATCTAAGGGTTCTGCTCATGACACCCCAAATCCAAAAGTTGTAAACTACACTTGCTTGCTTGCTCACAAGATCTATTCTTCAATACCACTCCACATGCGCACAGCTAATTATCAAGCCACAATGGGTGCTTACCATCAGTTCATCTGGGAAAAATTGCAGAACATCATCACCGCCCTGCCACCAGACAGTCTCTGGCCATCTCCTTTCAACAAGAGGCCTATGCTCTGGTTGGGCAACAAATACACTCCACCAAGCATGTGGCAGATTGTGCAGCTAAAAGTACAGCAATGAGCATCACTCTGCGCAGACACACCTGGCTTTGCTCTGTGGGCCTCCCAGATGACTCCCAAGTCCTGCATTGAGGACCTCCCCTTCAACGGAGAGGGCTTCTTCAACTATAAAACTAATGACTTCATTCAAGACCTTCACAGAAAGAAAACAGTTGCAAAGAAAATGGGCATAAACACATATTTCAACTCACAGGCTGTATCTGATGCACTCCACCCTTTCCCTCCTCCGGGAAGAAATCCATACTCTCCTGGCAAAAGGAGCCATCTCAAGAGTACTTCTCCACCTTACCTTGGATGTTTTCTTTTCCCAGTACTTTACAGTACTCAGAAGAGATAGAGGGCTATGCCCCATCTTGGACCTACACATCCTCTGGGTGTGGGTGAATGCCCCCACACCCAGATCTCCTCTCACAACACCATGACACAGTAGTTCACCCAGATGTTACTTATCTGAAACTCATTGCCTGGAGGATATCCCCTTCCTTGCGAATATCTTGAGACAGGCAAAACACTCCTCCACTAACCGCCTATATGCTTACAAGTGGAGACGTTTCCAACTTTAAGTGTTAGCTTAAGGTCAGCCGCATTCATCAGCAGCTCTTTACATTGTCCTTATCTTCCTGCTCCAGCTCAAGCAGAAGGAATTTTTCATCTCTTCTATTAAAATCTACCTGGCAGCCATAGTGGTGCATCAACCAGCTAACCACCCATCCTCAGAACTCTTCAAATATCAAATGTTAAGAAGTTCCTCAAGGGCCTCCAGAATGCATACCCAGATGTGAAACACCCCCCCCATGACACATGGTTTCTTTTACTAGTTCTGTCACAGCTCACTAGGCACCCCTTCGAACTACTGGCCACAGTGGACCTCCTTGTGGCCCTCACATTGGCTTGCCCAGCTGCAGAACATATAGGCCTTCACTGTGACTCGCCATACCTCCTCATCTCTCATTACAAGGTTACTATCCACATGGACATTACCTTCCTACCCAAGGTGGTCCCGTTTCCACATTTCTCAATCCATTATCTTACTTGTCTCTTATTCTTTATCGCAGAATGACCTTGAATGGTCCTTTCATTCCCTGGATGTCAGGCAAGCCTTGACCTTTTACCTAAACAGAACAAAATATTTTAAATAAACAACCAAACTCTTCATCTCATACCAAGGTCCTAGAAAGGGACAACCAGTCTCTTCTCAGTGATTTTATAAATGGATTTCTCAGGCTATCACACAGACTTATGAACTAGCAAACAAGTCCCTACCTCAGACCTTGCACAGTCACTCCACAAGAGCAATTTCCTCCTCTGCAGCTTTCATCTGAGATGTGGACATCCAAGAGATCTGCCAAGGAGCAACTTGGTCCCATCTGACAACCTTTGCCACACACTATAGATTAGATCTTAGAGCTCAAAAAGATGATGCGTTTGGACGAGCTGTCTTATCATCAGTTTTGACATAACTCCTACCTTCAAGGTATAGTTCACTAGTCATCCATGTTGTGTGCATACATGAACACCATGAAAAAGACTTAGTTACTTATGTAACTATGGTTATTTGAGTGATCATTCACATATCCACACAATCCTGCTCACCTCCCCTCTTGTCCCACCCTTCTGTATTCTTTTTCTTGCAGTGGACAATTGGAACTGAGGAAATTGGGGCTGCACTTGTGTGGTATATGCTGAGGCACTTTTGCTTTTGAGGCTCTGGAATTTTCCAAAGCAGTGTGGTGTAGGCATACACACCCATTTTGTATGAATACATGGATCACCACTCAAAGAACCATAGTAACATAAGTTACCAGCCAGGTTTTCCCCTCATTTTGTTTTCTTGTGTAGCCTTGCAGTGATTATTGTAATAATTCTCTTTGTCCCTACTTGCAAGTCACTGAAAAGTTTTATTTGGTATTCAGTTTGCTTTGCTGCATGGAATGGTACAGTTTGAATAATAGAATGATATAGATGCATTATACAACAATCCATGGAGCAAAGATTGGCACTAGACTAGATGCCATATGAGTATGATACGTTGCTTGGCTTAGTTTCAGAGTGAGGTGCAGTCACCACCTACAGCCTTATATTTGCAAGATTACAAAAAATGCCTATGATACACAACTTTGGGGCAGGGAAGTAGATCAGCATGTATCTTACTCTTGCAGATGAAGACCAAGAACTAAAAAATTATTCTTGTTACCAATAAAACAAAAAGGAAATAATTATTATTTGCACAAACTATGAAAATGGCTGCTACTTTGTTGCATGGACTTTTTAAGGTTAGAAGTATTGAAAGAGTTATTTCATTCTGTTTCTACACTCAGCTAATTGTTCTGTTGTGTTTAAGATTTTGCTCAGAATTAAGCAGGGGGACTTCTAGTGAGTGGGGAGTGTTTGGGGAATGTTATGTGTGTGCATGTGTCTGGTCTCTGGGTGTCTGTGAATTTCGTTGTATGGGTATACTGTGTATATACTTACAATGACAATAAATTATATTATATTATATTATAAGCAGCTGTTTTAGTGACAATAATTGTTCCAAAAACGGGTACCATACAGTCCACAGTAGCTATGTTTTCTACATATAAAACCATCTGAAGAATATTAGGTGACTTTTTTGTAGTCCCATATGCATACTGTGGAATCATGCAAATTGTAGGGCTGGGTGGCTATTGTTTTTCCATTAGCTAGCTTGGCTCTCCCACTGGTACATTAAATATCTTGCTATATGGATTACTACCTTCAAACCCATTTGTAATCACAAAAAATATACGTTGACCCAAAATAGGTGTGACTAGTTACTTTAAGATACTTGTTCATAATAAAATTTCTAAAAGGACAATATATGTTATTTATATATGTTATTCTGAATAATTAACCTGAAAAGCTTATTTTGTTTTATTTTAAAAATCCATACTCTAATAACCAAAGATACTACCAAAGTTGCAACAGATGAGAAGCTTAGCTGGGGGGGGGGGAAGCAAGGCAATATATATATATATATATACACAAACACATATATAATGAATCTATTGCCCTTTCCAGGCAATTCCAGAAAATGCATCAAGTTTGCTAATGAAAGATCATCACTTCCAGCCTGAACCAGTAGTAAGCAGTGATCCTTACAAAAGCTTGATCATTAGGCCTTCAGCCTTTGAGGATTTGAACTCAAGAAGATCCTACTTCCACAGCCACTCCAACCAGGTAATAAATTTTCAACAAGAAAAACTGCTCCAAAATAATATATCTTCAAAACTGCTGCCATAAATTTGGTCAGGTGTTTCAATTTCCTAGGTCGTTGGATTGCTCAGTGAGTTAAGAATCTGACTGCAGAGCCTGAAGTCAGAATTTCAGTTCCCCGCTGTGCCTTATGGGAGAAGAGCCAGTCTGTTAATGTTGGACAAGTTGCATAGTTTCAGAGAACTCACAGAAGAAAAGGACTGGTGAATAGTGCACTCTAGAAAATACCCTGGAAAAGATCAGAATCTGCTTGATAGCACATGATTATATTTCATTGTCCTCGTTGGGACATAATGAGAACCCATTGTTTCCTGCTATGATAATACGACAAGAGTCACATTTAAAAATACCCACTTTTGCACATCAGCAGAGAGGATCAGAGCACCTGCCTTTTTGAAACCACCAGCAATTCTACAGTTCAACCATAATGAGGAAATTTTGCTTGTTTTAAGGCAGAACAGATACTTCTGATTTCTTCATTTGGTTTATAACAATGTGTAGGTATATGTAAATTATTATGGACTAGAAGCAAGAAAAAATTGAACCTATAGATCCTTGATTTTACGGTGTTTAATTGTGATTTTAGAGGGTGAACGCTAAGATGCCTCTTTGTATTTAAATTAGCAAGGTACCTTTTCAAAATTTTAAGCATGTGGTAGCTGACATTGGGATATACTTTTTGTGTATACACTAGAGATGGGTAACTTTTAGCCCTTTAGATTTGTTGGCCCGCTGAATCTCTCAGGTTTGGGGTGGAATTATAGGCCTGCATTTAGAGGGCCACAAATTGCTATTACTGACCGACACTGCTACTTCTGTATACCTGCATAGAGAAAGAAATAATATGCAGCATGTTCCTTGACTATACAGACTGAACTTTGCCTTTCCTGCAATTCTGCATTGTAGGTGTCTGCATGGCACCTACATTTAAATTTCAGAATGTAGTTTTTGCTTTGTTTTTAATTGAAATCTTCCCTTTAGATTTCAAGGATTTCCCTATTTAGGCTACTCTGGTTGTTTAGGCTGCTTTAAACACTGGCAAGGGTGACCATTTACAATTTTTATTGCTTTGAGCCAAGTAAATCATCTTGAATCTCAAATATTCCAGCAAACGTTTGCTCTAGCCTATAATGGAGTGTCTTGTTTTTGCTCTTGGCATAGATGGGAAAGGATTGTTTGTTTTTTAATCTTTGCTCGTAAAGTAAAACTTTATAGCAAACTTATTTTCATTAATAGTGAAAGATGCTTCTGTCATCAAAAGCTAATCCTTTAGAAGGTTATGGAAAAGTTATTTCTGTCTCGGTTTTGTGGATTTCCATTGGGTGCTAGCAAAGTGAACAGCTTCTTTAGTTCTGGTTACAAGTTCCCACCACAAGTGCTAATGTATTTATTAAGCAAGTACTTCAGTAATCAAGGACTGCTCCTTCAAAAAGCAGTTTGAGATTATTTAGAATTGAGTGGTTTTTGTTTCTGTGCCTGCAACATACCTTATCTACTTTGCAATTTCATTTAAAATTCATGCTTTTAAAGGTTCAGCTATTGCCAAGATTTCATAAGCAAGAATTGCTCAAGGTTCTCATCTCTGCTCCTTCTTTCTTCCTTTTGGTCATTGGAAGCCAACTGATTAATCTCACCTACATTTAGGAACTAATTACTTCTGAACGATTTCAGGAGGCTTGATCTTGTTTTACAAACCCCACTATGCATTTTAATGCAGACTTGAGAGTTAAAATCCATTTTTTCACTGACATCCCTGATTTTATATACATCCAAACAAGCTTGTTCATCTTCAACCATCCTAGTGTTACCTTGAGGAACCTTCTGTTGTTTCCACAGTCTTAATATTAGAAGGGAAGCAACACCGCATGTCATTAATTACCTTTCAGTCCAAAAGTTTATTGACTACACAGTTGCATCAGTTTGATGCAACATTAAGTATCAAGGCCCCAGCTTAAGGAATCTTGGGAATTATAGTTTGCCAAGGTACTTAGAATTGTCTCCTGTAGTTCAGGGGAGGGCACTAGAGGTCTCTGGCATAGAATTCTAAGGTCTTCACCAAACTACAAATTCCATAATTCTTTAGGGTAGATTTGATGGTACTTAAAATAGTAGAATTCTGTCACAGTTGCTGTGCAGAAACTTCTAGATGGTACTTCTAAATGACTTTACCCAGTCATCTAGAAGTACTCAAAGACTGTATTAAAAAGTTTCAAAGCATCCTCAAAAATTCACTTTCTATGTGGATTTATTCCTGTCTGATGGTTTTCATGAATGTGGATTTAGTGTTGTACCTTCAATTGTTGATTGCTCTTCTCTCCTTTTTGTGCATCTTGCACCACATGGAATGTGAAAATAGAGAGTTGATTCCCTTGTAAATAATCTTGTATATAATGCTTAAACGTCTATGGTTCCTGGTAAACACTAGGTGGGAAAAAGCACTTCTTAAACACCTTTGTCACAAACTCTGCAGAATTTTAAAATTCATTTAAAACAAAGATGTACCCTTTGAACAATAAAATGTATGATTTGATAGTTTATTTGAAGTAGTGAATCAGAAACTTATGTTGAGATCTCTAGTTGCACTTCCATGTAACACGAATTACTTCTCTCATTTTCAGATACCCCCCAAACCGATCAGGAATGTCAGTTTTCAGGATGAGGAAGAAATTGTTCGAATAAACCCTCGTGAAATTTTAATACGACGCTATGCAGACTATAGGCATCCAGACATGTGGAAAAATGACTTGGATAGAGATGAAGCAGATTCCTCGCTGCAGTATCCTAAGACAGACCATAAAAAATCAGACTATCTCTCCCCCTCTGGAGATGGGACTAAGTTGAATTCTCTTAAAGATTCAAAAGGTTCTGTGGTACTTAAAACACAGCCATCATCATTCAAGTTAAAAAAATCAAAAAGAAGGAAAGAAGATGGGGAACGCTCTCGTTGTGTATACTGCCAAGAAAGATTTAATCATGAAGAGAATGGCCGGGGCAAATGCCAGGATGCACCAGACCCAATTAGGAGATGCATATATCAAGTTAGTTGCATGCTTTGTGCTGAAAGCATGCTGTATCACTGCATGTCAGACTCAGAGGGAGATTTCTCTGACCCCTGCTCCTGCGACACTAGCGATGACAAGTTCTGCTTACGATGGCTAGCTCTTGTCACATTGTCATTCATTGCACCTTGTATGTGCTGCTACCTCCCCTTGAGAGCATGCCACCACTGCGGTGAGCTCTGTGGATGCTGTGGAGGAAAGCATAAAGCTGCAGGATGAAGTAGTCTGGTGCCTAATTTGGGCTGACAAGTCTTTGTTTGGGGGAAATACCTAATTTGTGGAAGCGTCTGGCAAGCAGAAGGGAAACCTCTCATACATGAAAGGTCTGCTGTGGAAGACGCCTCCAAACTTGCTGCGTTGTGAAGGCTTGCCGCACCTGATGATCTGCTTTTAAGTGCGTGGTGCAAGTTGCAAAGAAGTTCTGGTGAAAAGGAAAGCATTTTCTTATGATTGGCGGTTAAAATTAGTATGAACCACAGTCCATACTATAAGGGATCAACTTCAGCAATTTGTACATTTTATAATTTAGGTGGTGGGAGGCTTTTTGAAATAATCTTTTTGGTGGGAAATATAACTAAAACTGTACTAGTGAGAGCTGATTTATAACTAAAGAAAGTGAATAACTTGGCAACTGCAAGAGGTTACACTGATTTAAAGTGCAACTAACTTGCTTATAAATAGCTTTTGGAGGCAAATTTATGTAAAAATAACAAATGTTTATATTTAACTAAGTATATAGTTGTTACGTGCCGTCAAATCGGAACCAACTTATAGTGACCCTAATAGGGCTTTCTAGGTAAGAGATATTTAAGGAGTGATTCTACCAGTTCCACACCCCTAATGGGTTTCCATTGGTTAAGGGGGGAATTTGTACCCAAGCCTCCTTAGTCCTAGTCCATCATTCTGTCCACTTCACCACACTGACTATATATGGTACGAATTATTAAATCTTCCTTCTCCTTTCCAGTTGCAAAGCAATTTTGGACCATGTTACCAGTCACATTCCATGGTAGTATTTCTGAATATTTAACTAGTTGACGTAGTAGTTCTCTTCAAAATGGACAAATCAATACTTTCAGACTTGTTACCCGTTGATTACATTTTGTATTGAGTTCCTCTGTACATTCTAGTAATCTGAAATCTTTTAAAATATTAATTATTGTAGTCTTGAGTGACCAGTGTTTTTGTTAAGCACATGTATAATTGTCTAATGCTCCTATGAAAACATAACATTTATTTTTATATACAAATGACTTTGGTTTCAGTGTAATGACTTTTTTTTCATTCTTGAGTTTCCTTCCAAAAATGTTGATGACAAATGCTTGGGAAGGAAAATTACCATAAGATAATTGTTGCAACATAGGTATTTATCATCCTGTTCAGTTTGGTAGCCCTTATTTCTTCAGTCTTCTAAGGGAGCAAATAATGTTTCCATTAATTTAATTTTATTCATGTAGCAAAGTATATTCTGTTTGACAGACTGTAGTCCAAGTAAAGAAAAAAAGCCCAAGTTAATTTCTTATGAATGAAAATGAGTTTCTCGTATTTCAGTTGTTGTTAGCATATTAATGATGAATGTTTAACTTAATATTTGGCTGTGTGTTTTAAATACCAGCTTTGAGGAATTCCTAAATGTCATTCGTTACATGATATAACCATATAGCTAACCATACAGACTTTATTAATAAAACTCTCTAAAGCAGTGGACCAGTCATTCATTAAAGGATGTTAATGAGTGGAAGGGAAGGGAATAAAATACTTATTAATGTGCTTTACTATTAACGTAATATTACACTATCTTTTTTAATTTCTACACATTCATTTCTGCTAAAATATGTATTGGTTTTATTTTATTCTTAAGACTAGGTTCAGCGTTAGAAATCCCCACTCCACACCACCCTTTTCCAGAGCCCAGGTATCAAACTGAACAACTGTATATAACACTATCTGTAAATACTTTTTTAAAGAAAACATTTATATTTATATGACAGCTTGAACTGACATTGTGTATATAGATCATCTTGAAGTATTATTTCACATTGAAAAGAAGACAAATATATTGATAAGTATAGAAGTTAAAGAGCTTCTTTCTAGTTTTGTACTTTTAAAAAGCCCTGAATGGAAAACCTATATCAGCAAATATGACACTGTAGCAGCAGTCCTTTGTTTTTATTGTTTATATTGTATTTGAAAGCTGCTACTTGAAATAATTTTCATGCTTCACATATTCAGTTAAACTTGGTTGCCTAGATAGACTGTTAACATCCCACCTACCCCCAGGAAGAAAAGCAAATACAAAAGAAACAGAAATAACCTGCGTTCCATTTGGTGATGTGGGAATTGCATCTTGTGAACAGCAATTATTAAAACCTTCTACTTTTAATTAAAAATATAGCATGGTAACCCAAGAAAAGAACTTGCTGGCTGTACAGAAAAGTCCTTTGAAACATGTGTTTGTACATGTGTATGTGTGCACGTGTGCACACACATATGTATGTACATACTATGAGAAGAAGCAAGTCTAACCATTTCTTTAAGAGCACTAATCCACATAGTGCAATTCCTGGTTCCTGTAGCGTATTTCCTATTAAAACCTATATGCTTTAATATTTTTCCTGAATGTGTACATTGCTATTTTTGATGTGTATTTAATCACTTTGCTGCTAAACATTAACTATCCTTTACTCTTGAATAAATATTATTCCTATTTTGTTTTGTTTTTAAATGCAAATTAATATGGATACTAGGGTATGATGGGGGAGGTTTCCACTGAACTAGTTTGAAATAATTATGTTGGTTCAATATCTGATTATGTGGCTTGTGTGATGTCAGCCACATGCCTGCATTTGTGTACCAGTTTACTTGTGTGTTTTAGGAGGATAACTTAACTAACTGTGGGCAACTCGCATGTCTAGTGAATATACAAAACTACCTTGTTACAGACTGGTGCATCTATCCCAGCATTGGCTGTTCAATACTAAGTGGTCCTACACAGGCTTTCCAAGATTCTAAACAGAGGTCTTTCCCAACTTTGCTACCTGAGATTTTCTGGTAGTAGTTGGGTGTTCATGGAAATACGAGGCATTAAACTTGGGATGTGATATGGCCTCTTCCCCCTTAAATAGACCATAGGATCTTTACTATTCAAACCACTAATTCTTATATCTGGGCATGTTCTTCCATGGAATTTAAGTTTGTTTTAATCTCAGATTTCAGTGAGGTTAAATATGTGTATTTCCAAATTGGCTTCTAGCAGTATTTTATATTTAATTCCATTCTTTTCTGAAATTAAAAACTAAAGCAGATTAAGATTGACTGTAACACAGATAAATTCAATATATATTTTAAGAGGTACTGTGACAGAATACCTTACCTATGAATTTATGTAGAAGAAATTGCCACAGGCTGTTCCATTTCCAGTGTAAGGAATCTTCAATGTGGGCATCAATGGGCTAGGTCTCACAAGCAGGCCAGTTTAAGACTTTAGCACCATCTGCTGGACGGACATGATTTAGAAATCTTGACTAACACACTTCAGACATTTGTTTATGCCATCCAGCAGTGGTGGGCAGAAATTAAATCATGATTTGCAGTAGATGAGTATGGCTTTCTTCTCCAAATGATAACAAGACTTTTACCCTTCCTAAATTAGTCAAGAAAGTTTGTGGGAAACATCATAAACTTATATTGTGTGCAATTTTGCAACTTCCAGCTCAGATACTAAAAAGATTTCCTCAGCTGAACTTGTTCTCAGTAGCACCTTGTTTCTTAATTTTGGTGAAAATCTAATTGCTGGAATAGTCCCATTGAATCAGTGACTTTTGAAATACTAATTACGGCAGTCTTGAATGGCCAATGTTTTGTTAAGCACAGGTATAATTGTCTAATCTGTTATTAGAACATAACATTTTATGTGTAAATAACTCAGTGATCATTATGTAAATAAATATTGACTTAACCAAGATTCCATTGATTTTCAGAGTCCACTATAGTTGAGGCTAACAGTTGGATTCAGGTTTTATTTGTGACAATTGGATATTAAGCTAGCAAAATAAAATAAAATAGAACCTGGAAATCTAATGTCCACCCAATCTGATCATAAGGGATAACCCAAAGTGTGGCCAACATAAATTTAAGCTACATTCTGTTCTGGTATTTGGTTACAAATTTAGTTCAGAGGGGAAGGAAGTAAAAACCCTTTCTTTTTACTATTTGGGTAAGTTTTATACACAATTCTTTCCACTGAATTATAAACAAGTGTGTTATGTTGGAAATCCAATATTAAATGAGCTATCCTGAGTATTGTGTAATGGTGAAATGCAAGTATTTCAAGCTAAAATGAAAGTATTGTTAAGTTTCATTTTAAACACATTTACTGTCTTGCAGTTATGGCTTTGTGCTTCAAAGTTCAAATTATTTTGTGCACCCAGCACAACTGCCTAAAACTGCTGTATTTGTTTACTGATGCACAAAATCAATTTAAAATAGTCTATTCGGGTAAAAATATGCAAACCAATTGTTTATTAAGGCCTTTAATGGGTCAAATTTGAAATTTAGTTTGAAGCTGTAAGAACTTGAAGTAGGTGAGGTTCAGGAATCATAGGAATATTGGCTACTGTGTGATTTGGGAACCAGGGAGCTCAGAAAGAACTGTTGCTTTGTTTTTATGATATTCTTCCGTGTGTGATTTTTGAAAGAGCTAGAGAAATCTTATTCCATTATCCAAATCAAATGAATGGATGAATGCATCTTTATAAACAGCTATTTGATTATCTAAATAGTACCTTCATTCCCACTTGTGGAACAACAGATCATTCCTGCCGCAGTGATCTGAAAATACAGTAAAGGGAGCTGAAGTACAAAAAGACTGAGAAACATTGATCTAGAGCCCAGGATGGAGTGGACTCTGCCACCTTCCCTCTTGACCTTTCTAAGAGTCATATAACAGCTGTTTTGAATACACATACACACTTTACATGCTGGAACTTAACATTCCCATTTTTCTTCTTCTTAACCCTTTGTTGGGTATTCTTTTCCTTGTGAACATTGAGGAAGACCTTATGTTCCCATGTAAATAATGCAGAATGTTTTTGTTAGCATTTTATTCTCAAGCAAATATAAGACACTGTATGTGAAGTGACAGTGGTACATATGCTCATGTGAAAGAAGAATAAAAGAAATGATTTCATAGTCCAATTAGTACTGTTAAGATCTACAGCTTGGTTAAAACCTATGCTTTTTGGTGCACTGATTAAGCAGTGTTTGAATAGTATTAAATGGCATTTTCCTCCTTGAAAGCTTGATTGCAATAGTTGTGGCTAACTCTGAGAATTGAAAAAGGCCAAAAGGAGAGGGGAACTTGATATTGGGAGCTGCAGCGTAACCTGTATATAGGTTAAATATCTTTTCTTTGTGGCAATTGCCCTTTACTTTGCTTAGTGCCATTTGCTTTCCCCCCTATTGACCTCAAAAAGTGCCTCACTTGTATATTATTTCCATGAAAATTTTAATTGTTATAACTCTCTACTAAAGATTGTAGGTTTTAGTTTTAATTCCATGCTTAGACGTATTTCTTTCTATGTATATGAATATAGCTGGTTACCTTGAGTACATAATGTAAATATGCATACAAGTTTAACTGTTTTGTTCTCATACCCTTTGTAAGTTGACATACTGGATAATATCATACAACAGTTTTAAGTTTCACTGTTTCCTGAAATTACCTGATTAAAACAATCATGAAATTAAACAGGAAGCTGTCACAGGTTTTTTTGTTTCCTTTATTATGGCTTCTTGGGGAAGGAGTTGAGGAAAATACTTATGGGAGGGTACTTTTCAAAATTATGAAGTATTAACATTGTGTGGCAAAGTGAATTTGCTACATATGCTGCAGAACAAAAATCTGTTATGTTAAATTTAATATTCTGTAGCCAAAATCCCATTGCTTAGTACAATATGTTTTACCAGTGTAGGCCAGTGAATCAGCATGGAGTTGCTGAATCAACTCTTCTGTACATACAGTACAGTAAGTTGCAAAGGTCCATCTGAATAAATTGAACCTGTGTTCAATTTGATTTACCAAATTCCACTGTTCAGTGGACCTAGTCTAGTGTGACATAAACACTAAACAACCATGTGTTTTAGTATCATTCCATCTTGTGTTTTGGTATTATTCCATCCCTCCCCCCCCCAAAAAAAAGACCCTTTCTGAAAAACCTATGTTTTTGGAAAGGAGAAACATTTGTTTATCATGTTGAATTTCGAAGTTATCTTGTCAAAAAGTTGAGGAGAAACAATAAAACTATCCCATGCAAGTGGCCCTTGTCCTTGCTGGAAGTTGTTGCCATATAATAATAATAATAATAATCATGTGCCATCAAGTCACTTCTGACATGGCTATCCTTTTCAGGGGTCTCCAGGTAGAGGACACTCAGAAATAGTTTACCATTCCCTTCTAGGGATACCCAGAGACTTTGCAGCTTGCCCAAGGCCACACAGGGCTGGCTCTACTCATAAGAGGCAGAGAGGGGAACTGAACTCTCAATCTCTGGCTCTACAGCCAAAAACCTCAACCACAGAGCTATCCAACCAGCTGTTCACCATATGGGATAGTCAAAGGAGGCATGGAAAAGGGGGGGGGGAGCTAAGAGGAAACTAGTTCA